GAGTAAAGAAGAAAACCCCCCACTGACTCTGAGCCCAATGCGACCAGACGAACTATTAGGCACGAACTAAAGCGAGCCTGTGTGTTGACATGGAAGCCTGGATCAGCAGAGCTCGAGAAATGGAGAAAGCAGAAACAATGGGCATTTAGCACAAATATTTTCAATTGATCCGCAACACTTGTCCAACGAAACCAAACGTCAGTGAGACAAACAGAGTCAGCGCGTGGGACCTGATTCATAGTAAGGAGCGCCGTCTGGCTCGTTAAGCGGAGTGCCTTCGAGAACAATGGAGTTGGCCTTTTGATGCTAGTTCCCTTTCTGCTTAAGTGGTGCAAGGTGAGCCATGGTGGGTTGGTTTAAAAGCCCCGGATTCCCTTGCGCACACACTATTTCAGGATGGCAGTGAGGCCATGTGAGAAGAACTGACCTTTCTGCTCGCACAGATCTAGAAGGAAGCGACTCTCGAAGATAACTGGAGTGAACTGGTTATAGTGTCAATATACAAGAAGGGAAGTCGCACCGACTGAGCTAACCCCAGGAGTATCAGACTAACATCAGTTGTGACAAAATTACTGGCCTCAATCCCTATCCGACCTCTTACTGTAGAACGGGAATAACGGATTAGGGAAAAGCAGGCAGGTTTCCGCGCAGGACGAGGATGTATAAATCACATATTCACTCTGTGGCAGGTGCTAGAGCAGCGCCACGAATATCGCAGATCGACAATAGCTGTGTTCCTCGATTTCAAGTGTGCGTTCGATTCAGTCGACCGATGCATTCTGTTCGAAATACTTGCACGGAAAGGTGTTCCCATGAAATATGTGAACATTTTACGTGCTCTGTACTCGAACACTACAGGCCGCGTCAGGGTCTACGGTGACTTGTCGGATAGCTCTCCGACAACAAGTGGCTTTCGTCAGGGTTGTCCAATTTCTTCATTTTTGTTCAATTTCGTGGTGTACTGCATCATGGAGTGTTCCCTTGCGGAATCTCACGATGCAGACGTTGAGGTGCTGCCTGGTGAAAGGCTAGTTGATCTTGATTATGCGGACGATATCGTCTTGCTGTTTAACGATGTTGGGTCGGCGCAATCAAACCTGAATATCTTCCCTAGTGTGGTCCCATCATTTGGTATGCGCTTCGCACCTTCAAAGTGCGAAGCGCTGTTACAGGACCACCAGCCACTTGATGACCCCTTGACTCTTGATGGCGAGGAACTCGAGGTAGTTGATCACTTCACCTACCTTGGCAGCTGTATCAGCAACGATGGGCGCATAGCAACTGAAGTCAGTTCACGCATTGCAAAAGCCAGAACTGCCTTCTTGAATCTGCGACATCTTTGGCGACAGAAAGGGGTTTCCCTCCGTCTGAAACACCATGTTTACAAGGCCACAGTGAGGGCCGTCCTACTCTATGGGAATCAGACTTGGCCCTTCGATCTGAGGACGTGAGGCGCCTTCAAGTCTTTGATCATCGTTATCTGTGGGACATAGCTGGTGTCGGATACCATCGCAACGATGACATGCGTAAGCGAGTACTAGGCAGTGATAACCAGGCTATTTCCTTAGAACAACAGGTAGCACTGAGTAAGTTGCGTTGGCTTGGGCACGTGCTACGTATGCTCGGTCCCGGCTTACCGAGGAGGGCCTTGTTTTGTTTGCCACATGTAGGGTGGCGCAAGGCTCGAGGTGGACAAAAGTTGACTTGACACCATGAAATGAATTCACTAACGAACAAACTTGGTGTCGTCGGTCCGTCTCGCCTTCCAGGCTGGAGTGCACTTGATCCGCCTTGTGTTTGGCTCGAGATGTTACAGGACATGGCTCGCAGTGGATACTAGTGGCGCGTGTGCTGTCGTCCCCTAGCCGGATTACCTGTTTACAGTGTGTTTGCTGCTGAGTTATCTGCGGGGGAACTGCTGTCTGTGATGTGGGTCAACGAAAGGCGCAAGCGAGCTGTCTCGCCAACGCCGCCCTAACTTTGCACGATAGCCAGCTGTTTGTGACGGTATGCTGTTGATAAGATGTAGGCGCCTTGACTCTGAATGCTTGGAGCATTAAGGTTTGGCGCTAGGTCACACTTCCCTTTCCAACTTAGTATTCTTAATTTCGTAAGTCGTTGTGGTTGTATGACATCAAAGTATCAGTTCAAATGGCTGAGGTACTGCTGTTGATGATGAACGACGGGCATTGTGCAGGAAAAAAGAATGGTACTGCATTTTAATATTTCTAGCGATAAATCGCGAGTATGTCACCTTTTAAGGTTGCTCAGAAAGGGCGGAATTTTAGTACATGTGGCCGAATGTTGGATGATTAGGACCACATCGTGTGCATATTTCACTAATATCTTTTCATCAGAAGCAAACAATGAGACGACGCATGTGGAAAAGAGGTCAAGCGACGGTATATTTCCTTGAAAACTACCGGTGGTTGTGGTGAATGGCGAGAAGAAAATTGTGTTTCTAACTCGGGTAAACTTGGCACGTCCGCTGATATAGGACATCAGCAAGTGGATAGCAGAAGGTTGAACCCAGACATCGTGTAGGCCATTCAAAAGAGGCGCGTGATTTACACAATCGAAAGCGGTACTGTAGTCGAAAAACACGCACGCGTGGATTTGGTCTTGTTGTCTAGCGATACCAACAGCGAATGTACGGGCAGGCCGATGTGTCTTGTAGGAATATCGAACTACAATGAACAAACTGAAGAGGAGCATCTGAACGAGTTTGATTCAGCACCTTCTCAAGAATAATTGTCTTTATGACTTTCAAGTTCACTGAAATGTAAGCGATTTGTGGATATTTAGTTGAACTTTCTCGGACGTTGGCAATTTTCTGTTATTTCGTGCACAACGTGCACAAATCAGCAAGGGGTTCGGCGCACTGTTTGACGGCCATCTACCATGTTGGAATGTAGCTGCAACAGTTTCTCGGGCACTCTATTTCTGTCTATGGCGGATAATGAGGTTATAGGCCACTCTAATCAGGTAAGAGTAAGCGATAGAGTCAAAATTAAAGTATAAACAGTTGCAATTCAAGTCTTCCCCGTTTACCTCTAGGTTCTACACTTCGTGAGAAACTCCACGTCTGGGTATAGCCCAAATAAGTGAAGTATTGGAGAATAACAGGCTACGGCAGTTGACTCGCAGGTACGTGGGTCCCATGGCCAAGCCAAGGGAGGCGATTCGAGTTCCAAAAGAACTCTAGAGGGCACCTGAGGGCTAGCTGCCGAGCAGCAAATGAAAAGTATCACGCTACTTATTGATTGCACAGGAATCGGTCAATCCCCAAATGATTTTAGCGCGTAATGGTCATGTATCTAATCCATGCATTCAGAACGACAGCATCGCAGGGTTATAAACCTTTCACTAAACGAATCAGCTTACATCCCGTCACCTCTATGAGTGACTGAGGCTTTGAAGATATACGAACCACACAAATGTTTGCAGTAAACATGTCGGTGATGTGGACGCCAGAGATAATGCAGCTGCTCAGAGAAGTGAATAGATCAGTCGCTAAGAGGTAGTACTAGAAGAATGGGAGAACTGATAGTGTTTCCACCCAGACCCGCAAGCGAAGTTTGCACTTTTATTGAGCGGAACATATATGCAAATGCATGCAGCGCTATGTATTAGTTGAATCGGGAGAACTTGCACTGCGGCTGCCTGACCGAAAGTGGGAGCTATTTCGTCTGCACAATCTTGGTTGGAAGTTCATCGTGCAATGGAAATTCGATCACGGAAGAAAAGGAAGTGGGTAGGAGAGCCATTCGTGAGCGTTTCAATCACAGTTAGAGAGGAATGAAGAGATGGCGCAACTTTGGTGCACTTAGTATGTCATGATAAACTCTGAGAATTTCCGAAAGATTTTTCCGCTGTACCAAGGGTATGATATGAGGAGAATAGAAAACTGTTTATCATATGCACTCTTCGAGGATGGGCGTTACCAAAAACAGATGAGGACAACGGAATCAAATCATGGAAGGATATGCCGAAAGTGCGCAGGGTGACGTCCAAGGACCTGTCGAAGAGTGAAAGTGTGGTCAATGCACCTTCTACTTGAGTGGAAACCAAGCTTGATTTTCACTGATTCATCCAGCATGAGGATTGGCGAGCCACTGCAGCATGATTCGGTAAGTCGCTTGCTACTAAAGCAGACTGGGTTAGGCTACATAGAATGATGTTTGAAAATCGAACGAAGTATGGTAATGTAGAAGAACGGAACTGTGGATAGCCAGTAACCATTTAGTCGGAATCGATTTGAGAGATTATGGAGAAGCACAAATCAAGGTGGGATCGGTCGTGTGTTTAGAGACAAGTACACCATATGACAGCGAGTTTACTGCCTTGAAGCAACGACCCGAAAATGAAGTTGTTGGTATGTCCTAGCTTACAAGACTGAGGGAAAAAGACGATGGCAAACGCCGCTGTATCGTGCAGTTGTAAGAAGCAAAAGGTAATGATAACTAAACACATCCATCTATCTTTTTCGGAAAGTGCAAGTGAATCGCCCGAATGGGGTTCGTGTGTATCGCCATCAAACAAAAGTGGAGTCAGAAGATCCACAAAACCGTCAGGTCATTAGTAAAAAGCACTGAAATCTATGACATGCAAGCACTAGCAAAAGATTATCAGCAGTACGCTAAACACCCAGTCCCTAGGCTCACCATTTAACTTTTCTTAAGAGCGACCTCCACTTCTGACCACCTGACAACGCGAATGATTCAGTGACGGAAAGGAATGCTTTCCTGACAAGCCAATGCGTCAGATGACCTACTACACAGGAAGGTACGAGGTGCGAATACTTAAGATTTTAACGAACTGGATAAAATACTTCTTGAACGAGAGGGCAAGATTTTCATACTGAGGGTAGCTGATAGGCCAAATCAGCTGTGGATTGCACGGCGACACGAAAAGATGGTACGCTACACCACCTGTAAGCGAAAACAAAGTATGGTGAACAAATGCACGCGTATCACTGAGGGTGTAGAATTGCAGCATACCAGTAGAAACATTGGCATCCAGTCGCGGATAGGTGTACTGTAGTACGAGCTCTTTAATGACGTTACTTCTACCCCGTTCTTTCAGGAAGGTGCGTAGCGTGTTCCAACGACGGACAGATACCTCATCACCGCTGGTAGATGGGTGGTTAAGCCAGTCCTCAGACAAGCGATCACGAACGTCTGCTAAGTCGTCGGGTAGACAGTCCAAAACTTTTTGCAAACGCGTCGGCACTCCGAGCAGATCCTGGCCAGATTTGGTACTGCAGTATGCGCTGAATCTAGGGAGCAGGAGATCACACGCAGCATCCACACACGGGTGGAACGTGGATTCTAGCGTGCCGGAGTTTTTGTAATCATGTCGCCCGATTCCACCGGCAGTGAGAAAAGGCTGTTGGTTGATGAAGAGTAACGAGGCAATATAATATGTTACACAAGTTAAAATATCAAGTTTGTGGTGATAGTGCAAGAAACTACAGTTAACCTAGGGAGCCCAAATCTGAACTGGAGAAAAAAAGAATTAAGCTGCAATTAGGCGGATGAGTCTGGGCAAAAAGAACCGAAAGAAGCCCAAAGGTATGCGAATCCAAAAGTAAGGGAGCCCGAAGGCGTGTTGCTAGTTAACACTACCGCCTCATAGGCTGATGTTTCGTACACGGAATAAAGCATGTGAATCGGGTACCGAAAAGTGGCGAGAGGCCCATGGTAACAAATTTAACACACAAAGCTGCACACCAACACAGTGAGTAAAAACCCGGAGAAACACTTACCTTGCGTGATGCACCACTCCGAACGAGGGTTAAGTAATCAACGATGGCGCTGCGGTTGGATGGGTCTAGCTTTCGTGCGCTGGTATCGCACACCCAGCAGTGAACACCCCGGCGACCGGAATAAACCCACAGTAAATGCTCGAATCCAAGATCCTCCCGCAATGCCCGATCTACACAAAGCACAGCGGACTGCGCCAACTGCCAGCATCGATCGCAAACACTGGTTTCTGAGCCACCGCTCTGTTCTCCACAACAATAGCGAACGTCATCGTAGTCCGTCAAATCAATGTCGAAGACAAGTTCCTTCCACTCTGGCTGAAGAGACAAGTAAATTATGATGAGACAATAACGAATTGGGTTGCTGTTAAATCACGAAGAAAAACGGAAAACAGTGCATTTTAATTGAGTCAAGCGACTATGCAACGAATACCGGGATGAAGTGGGTCCATTTGAAATGATTCGAGCTAATAAAGCGCGTAGAATGTATCCGGAAGGACAAAACCAAAGTACATTCGTCAAGAGCATGTGCCAACTAGATAAGCAGAAATCATTTGACTTTAATTAACCACTCAGCGCCAGATTCGTGTTTGCCACTTGTGTGGATAGTGTAGGTTTGTCAGATACGTGCAATGCAAACAACAGCGTTGATCACTGCGGGACACCTGAAAGAACACTGCGCTATACGGAGTTGCATAAACCGTTCAGCGGAGAAGTAGGTAGCTCGACTATCATATGCTGATCATCACCAAGTGTTCTATTAAGCGTATTGTGCATTCGTCCGGATCTTTCATTGCCTTAAACAGTTCCCAAGTTGTAGTGAAACATGAGGCTCTGCTAGCGATCCGAAGACGTTTTGCACATTGCAAGGTTTTGGTTTCTACAAGTGACGCACTACCCACCGTGGTGGCGGTTGTGTTATATACGCCCAAGATAACTTCAACTCGCCGTTCTATAAAGTTTAACCAAAAGCCAACCCCGAGGACTACATTTAAATTCAAACTAACGGTAAGCAAAGCAAACCCCTCATTGACTGAATTTACCATCCTCCGCATGACTCTAGATCTAGAGTTGACGGGCTAGTTTGGATTTTTAACCAGGAATATTAATTGCCACCTTGTTTTAAAACAATTTTTGGTGGCTGCAATATGCTACAGATTATGTGGTACAATCCGATAACTCCTTCTAAATACATGGTCCTCGCTGGCAAGATAGATCTGGTGCCTGATCGGACTTACGCTTACGCTGTACTCATTGAAAACATGGATTTTTCTTACTGATTACAACAAGCGCATCGATATTTCAGAACTCTGATATTCGCAGCGCTGACGATTAACAGTGTCGTAGTTAAAAGTGACCGCGCTATTCAAGACGTCGAAAGTCCTACTCAAAGATGCATTAGCAGTAATCTGGAGCGTCGTACTGACGTTTAGCTGCCAGGTGACTACCACCTGTCACCTATGGGCTATGAATACTACAATGTCACCTGTACCTATACAGGAATTGAGCCGGCGACCTTTGGTTTAACAGTCTGACGTCTGAACCACTCAGTCAATGGCAAAGTGGTATGCAGAAAGGTGAGTAGGCTGTGAATGCCGGTAGTATTCCCTGATAAAGAGCTAAGGCTGCACCTCAGGTGCCAATCGGGTAAGTCATTTGGTGCGATTTGACGCCATGTCTCATGAAGCTTGGTAGCGTTTTACGGTATGAACAAAATCGATCCGCATGTTATAAAACGATAACAGAACATGCCAGTCCAGTAACAGTGCGCGTTGAGTAACTAGGATACATCGCAAAACAGCTGACGGGGGACTTCAAATAGAACATCGGCGGCCAATTTGCTGACGGCGGTGCAGAGCAGAAGCAGTCGACAACGGTGCACAGCAGTAATAAACTGTGTTCATTTTTCGTGCACACAGAATCAATCCGAACAGCGCACACAAATGGCAATCCCAACAAATGGGACGACTTCGAACATCGTCAGTAACTGTCATTACTCGTTGTTGGCAGCCCGGAACAGATAACCATGACGCAGGCTGAAGCTGATTGGCAAACCATTGAGAGGAGGCTAAGGGTGACACTTCACCTTGAACGATGTCAATGTGGATGGTCCATCTTGAAGCCTGCCAGTGAGCGCTAGGCCATTCCCTTATTAACCATTGATTCGATCCCATTATGTGATTTGCTTATTCTGCTTTCCGCGTGCGCAATACACTTTCCGCCTGAGACCTTCATCTTCTAATCTCGAAAGTCGGCCGGCCAGCTTGCACACTAGCAGCAGGGTATCCGTACAATCAGCGGAAAACACAACAGATTTTGGCGACAGAGGTGAACTAAATCAGGATGTCAATCTCATCAGAAGACCTGAAGGCTATTTTGTTGCAACAACAGCAGCAATTTGAAGCCGCACAGCTGCGAATGATTGAGACTCATCCGAACGTTATCTCTTCAGTCTATACCCATCCAGAACACTGGGAAACCTTCCGCAGACGCAGTGATCAGCAGCTTTAGGGAGTTCATTTTGGATCCGGATTCAGGACTAATATTCAATGACTGGTTCAGGCGCTATGAAGATGTTTTTAGGATAGAGTTGTCAAGTCTAGATGATGCATCAAAAGTTCGCTTGCTGTTGCGAAAACTAGGAACGGTCGAGCATGATAGATATCTCAATTACATTTTTCCAAAGAGCGCCCGTGATTTCAGCTTTGATGACACAGTTTCCCGGCTCACAGAGATGTTCCGAGACCAGTCGTCGCTTTTTAAGTCAGTACAATTGTTTGAAGCTTTGCTAGAGACAGTGAGTTTTATTTCTTATGTAGCGACAGTAAAGCGTGAATGTCAGACAATTAAACTAAAGTCGCTTACTGAAGATCATTCCGAGTGCCTGATATTAGTATGCAGTCTCCCAAAGATGCCGCAATCCGGACTAGAATACTTGGGAGGTTGGAAGGCGACTCAGATATCCCATTACAAAAGATCGTTGCTGAAGCCCAGAGGATCATGAACTTAAAGCACGACGCAACTATGGTGGAGGATTCAAAGGTGGATACTGGTGATATTACAGTCCAGCAAATTTCCAGAGGCAACACTCCATCAAAGGAGCACAGGAGAAGTCCACGAGTTAAACCCCCATCATCTTGCTAGCGATGCGGAGGTCAGCATTTCGTGAGATGGTGCCCCTTCAGCAAGCACATCTGCCAAGTGCCATAAACGTGGACACAAGGAGACCCACTGCAGGTCTAAACTACCGCGCAGGCCGCCATACCTTGCCAGAAGTCGAAGTCGCCGAAAAATGCAAGAAGAGAAAACGCCAACTTTGCCGACGATGTTAAAGACAGAAGAAAGTTTCCAGAGAGAATTCATCACGGTCCACTCCCAGTCAACAGGCATTGGCAAGTCTGGAAAAACCTCAGACAGTATTGCCTCGACCTTCTTGGTCTCGTCAGTGGTGCGTATTCGACTGGACCGTTGCTGGGTTCCGACCCCATGACTTTCGGATGCCAGCAGCTAGTGCTACTTCGCCATGGGTGACAGGCACGGAGCTGCGTGATTGACAGCTGACCATGATATAGCCCAGCTCAACTTGCACTATCATGCCAGTTACGAACCGTGCAGAAGACAGCAGTCAGCCAAACGAGCTAGGACTTTCCGCATAAATCCTACGTACAACATAGGACTTAGAAGCTATACGGACATATTTATAGATTACTAATGAGTAGTGGGGGTATAGTAAAATTTAGAGATAATTCATCACGGTTACTTTCAGTCAGCAGGCTTTGGTAAGTCTGGGAAAGCACCAGAAAGTGCTGTTTAAACCTACTATCCGGTGATTTTCCAGACTGGTCAAAGACAGCTGGCTGTGAGTGGACCATGATGAATGCTCGCAGAATTATACCAAAGCTCCACTACTCATTAGTAATATAAAAAGCTATTAGTTATATAGAAGAAAGTTTGTCACGAGCAGCGTTAACGGGCGACTGATGCATTGCAAATTGACACGACGTCCGACATCACGGTCATTTCGGAAAATTTGTGGAAATCTGTTGGTGCATTTGACATTAAACCGACTGACCAACAAACGACGAGCGCATCAGGTACCAAGTTGAATCTGATCGGTCAGATTGAGTGTGAGTGCTGCTTTGCTGAAGTCACCGTTGGGAAAATATGTTCGTCACAAAGCAGGAGAATTTGAACCTTCTTGGGCTAGATTGAACTGGGCGCATTAACCTTATGGATGTTCCCAGTAACTAGATCTGTACCAGCTTTCAGGTACACAAGCCCAAGGCACACAAAACGGCCGAACTAGCTTCTTGGTCGTGGGAACGACTTCACGCTGAGTTCGTTGGTTCTGTGAATAATCAGAAGTAGCTGGTCGTTGTGGACTCTTTCAGCAAGTGGCCTGGGGGCTTCTGCATGGATCGTACGACAAGTGGTGCAACAATTGACGCTCTAAGAAGAGGTTTCAGCCAGCGCGGCATACCGACAATGGTTCGCAGTTCTTTCCAGTTTGTCGAGTTTTGTCCACAGAATGGAAGCACGCATTTGCGCTCATCGCCGTATCGCCTTCAGTCAAATGGGAAAGCAGAAGGCTTCATCAACACGTTTAAACGATCGCTACCGAAGATGAGGCGGAAAGGAACTACACAAGATATACTGGACGTTTTCCTGCTAGTGTATAGATCGACCTCGAACCCCCAGATGCCAAATCAATTGTCGCCAGCAGAGGCATTAATGGGAAGAAAGCTCCGTATGACAAATTCCTTGCTGCTCCAGAGGCGCGCTATTCCACAACAAGGGCACCCTCGAATGGTAAGGTACTACAATGAGCGACACAGAACACAAGCAAGTCAATTTCCCCAGGACAAGGTGTTTTGGGCAATGACTATCGAGTGGGAAGTTCTCAGTGGGTAATAGTATCGATCAAGAGAAGACTTGGTCGAATACTCTATGAGGTCAGAGTGGGCACTTTGATTTGGACCAGGCATGCTAATCAGCTGCGACCAACTAGCATCCCGGCAAGCACTAGTACTCGACTGCTACCATTAGATATTCAACTTGACAGTTTTGATAGGGCATCAAATATTCAGAAAGCTTCGGATGCACCTCGCACAGAAGAGCCGAAAATGCAACCACGCACCGGACTGATCGAGTATGGAAATCCGTCATCAGAATGCAATTGGATCTAAGAAATAAGCCGTATGTTAATTTTCGCGGGGAAGGGTTAAAGGAGCAGGCACCCCTTTGTTAGCAGCCCGGAACAGTTGACCATGAAGCAGGCTGAAGCTTGTTGGCAAATCCATGAGAGCGGGTTACGGATG